TTCAAAATATTTAACATACACGAGGCGTCTGTTTGCAATGCCAGCCATGAATAAATGTTAAGACTCGACTCTATGATTTTATAAAAAATATTATTACAAGAGTAAATTAGATTTATAATTTCGATACAGCTGGTTTTGTTGTCAACGTAGTCCTATGGCTGGTTTTGAAATTGACTAGTTACGATATAGCTGGTTTTGAAACAATCATTGATTATGGCTAGCCAACGAACATGGTCAGCTGGGTCGAAACCAACCACAGTTTTTCATCATCAGTCGTACATAACCTTGGTGTGTTTTGATATTTTTACAAACCACGTGTGATACTGCAGTGTGACAATTTATTTTCAATCAATGTTTGTTTCACACTGCACGCCGACGGTCTATTTTTTTTTTTTTTATAAGAGTGACGACGGCTGCTGCCCCAACGACGACCGTCGCCGCGCTCCGCTTTCGATGAACATGACCGAGTTCCTCCTGGTTGCCAACCGTCGTTTATAGCTGCTGCTGCTGCTGCTGTTGTTGTTGTCATTCATCATCGTTATTGTGTGCCAACAGTTGCGAAATGTAATTGCTCGTAAATCTCTTGTAATCGGAAAGTTAGCGCGCCCGGTCCGCCGCATGATTGATGGCGAATTCCGGGGTGGCGTGCTATTGGCGGAAACCGCAAGAGGTGTCTTAGCCGAGTTAACATTTATGGAATGTTTATTAACGCTCGTCAAAGACGCCCTGACACAGCAGCAGCAGCAGCAGCAAAATTCCGCCTGCACGTCTACAAATGTTATTATTATATAGTGTTTACCATAATAATAATAATACACATAGTATACACGCCAGTCGGCTATTGACTGGCGTACAGCCCGGCCCCGTCTTGGCGGTACGCAAAAAACACACATACACGCACACACACGAGGGTTAAGTAAGGAAAGACCGACCACGTGCCTGCCTTGGTTTCCGGGTCAAGGACGTGGTGTTCCTTCATCGGCACCGAAAACTTCCATCGTTACAACCCGCTACAACCCACTGAACTAAGCTGGATAATGAAGATTTTATACCTGATATACAAAAAAACGCTTCATTATCTTATGGCGGATAGAAAATCAAGTGTCTTCGTCAATTATAATAATAATATGTCCTGATTCGATACAACAATAAGTAAAATAATTAGAGCTAAATATTAAAACTTATGTAAACTTATTTCATCAGTGCATATAATATGTGTGCAATATGATTGACGTTCACTGACATGACAGCCCCCCATCAGGTATAGGTTAGCTGGCCTCTCACTTCCTACACACCTTTGTCGTTCTGATACCATTTTCACCTTCTTTTACTGTTTATTTAATTTTTCTTCTTCGTCTTGCCCGAATATTACGTTAAATACAAATACTTCTCAATATTTGACACCTACAGCGGCACTCTACTCGTCCATGTTTGTTTTCACCACCATCGCGTTGTAATTATATTTTTATTCGATTTAAAAAATATGTTTATGAAAATGTAAATTTTTTTTGTCTCGAAATAACCTATTTAAACTTCAATTATATTAAAACAATATTTATTTTTATGACTCTACGCTCAACCGTAGATAAGACTTTGGGACGGAAATTTTTTTTCTGAGAAATAAAATATTTATTAGTGTTTTTTATGTGTCGTAAAAATAAATTGAAGAAATGTCCCATAAAATCAATGATAATAAAATCTATCTAATTTCCTCTAAGATTAAATTAAAACATTAAATAATTTGATATGTACAATATGTGTTCAAAAAAAACAATTAAAATTCGTTTGATAATTTTTGTTTTTTGTAAACTAGAAAAAACATGAGCGTAGCCTGCGGTTATAATGTATAGTTAACTATACAATTATTAAAAAAATACCCTTCACCATAAGAACATAAAATTGTGATATTTGCAATTATTTTTAGGTAGATTTAAAATGTATTAATTACTTCTATTCAATATTTTTTTCAGTTTTTTGGGGTTTTCTATCCTAGCATCCGATTGTAAAACTCTAAAAGTATAGTATCATATATATAATTCGTTCCAATGCCCATAAAGCAAAATAATACTGTTTATAAAAAGTATTTAAAAAATTGTGTTTTGGAAGGAAATTAAACGCTTTAAATATATTGCTTACAAAATATTTTCAATGATTTTCTTTTAGTTTAAGTACAACAATAATGTTTTCTTAATTTTTTTTTTATATTCAAACTACATTTTGTTTTATGCTATTTTTTAAACATTTAATAAGAAAAGGCACCGGTTGACATTTAATTACCATTAGTGGCCTATTAGAATAACAGCCGATTTTGATTTCTACAAGGAAGTAATTCCAATGCACCGACCAACCATAACGTCATCCTCGACCGACCGTATCGCACATTGTCGCCTGTAATGCCTTTTACCGGGTCAATGTCGACACGGATGACCGAGGCCGAATAATATTAGACCCATTGACGGTGCGTTATTTCCAGATTGTAAGAATAGACAACATTTAACAACGAGTTCCCAAAGGAAACAAAAGGATATTTTTAACTATTTGTGAACTCCATCATATAGGGGTAAACTACCCCTACCCTAACCTAGCTTCCGTGAAAAAAAATACTTACTGAGCATACTCACTTTCCACACCCCCGTGGCCATGTCTATCGACCTTTTAACTTAAAAAAAAGACAATAAGTAAAATCCGTTTGGTAAACATTCTGGAAAATTAATTGGCGTTTCAGTGTGTGACTGAGTGAATATTTTTCAGCGTTCAACCAAATCTGCCTATTCAATTAGATCTGTATTGCGTTTACGTGCATCGATGATAAGGTCCATTATTAAAATTATTATAACATAATAAAAGACCTCTTTAATTGGTATTTTGTTGATTTATACATTTTAAGATCTTGCTTGCAACCTACCATGTAAGATTCGATTTAATTGGACGAGCATTGGAGGTACATTGTGAATTAGGTATTTCGTTCCTTTTCTTAGTCAGAGTATGATTTACTTGGAAATCATACTCTGACACGCGTTTTAGTTTGACTCTGTACAAATTCGAATTTAACATATCAATACACTCGTTCGGTTTTTACAACAGTAGTTCAGCAATTTGTGTGAAAATGAGGCTTTTTTTTTTACACACATCAGATGGATCACTCTGTGTATTGGTCGAGGCTGAGTCAGGGCGAGGGCACTGTTAAACACTCGACTCGACAGCTATTTTTTAAATTTTTATTCGTCCGTCGTTAAGGTTAACACAAAAGGCGGTGGCCCAAATGGGGGGAGGGGGGGAGGTAAGTCGTGGGTACGACACGTATACATGCGAAGAACACAGACTCGATTTAGTATTCATCCGAGACGGTCCGGACGAATATGATAATTAGGACGAGCCGACGTGAGGGACCCGCATAATAATAATATAAATTTAAATAATATACAATAATTATATTTACAGTAATATTTCCAAGTGTATCGGAACGCGATAGTCTACAGACCTGTGTGGCCCTGTTGTGATCGTTATTATTATTCACATAACTCAAATGCACAAGGAAAGGAATCTCGGATATGTGTGTAAACTATGACATTTTTTTGTATAATAGCCGATATTAGATAATAATAAGATGGCCTAACCGATGACGTTAAACAAATTGTTTAAAAAAAGTATATATATATATATATATACATGTATACCGTGCGTTTACGCCGTCACGTACGACCGCATGACCGTACACCTGCGTTTTGTTACATCTCTGACCTCTATTTTTGTTTGGAGCTGTTGTTTTTATTTTATTTTTTTTTGACGGTGTCCAGATGCGCTTTTTAAACGAAAGCCCGCACTCGTGTCGGCTAATTTGAAACGACTTTTGAACAATAATAACAATAATAGTATAATGTGTCATCACACGCGGTCGAGGCAACACGTGTGGAAACCGCCAAAAACGTGTATTCGTTTGCAAGTAATTTTGGAAATGTGTAAAACCCAAAACAGCGTCAACGTAATAACATTAATAATAACGGTAATAAAATGCATTCCTTGGGGATTTCTTGTTTTTTTTTTTTACACTTAAATAAAATACAGCTCTTCAATATCTTCTTTATATCCGGATTGGACGGGGAAGCGTAGTCGTCGACTAAGCTAATATTCAATTCACGTCGCTGCAAAGGTACTTACCGTTTTTTTTTCGGTTCTTCCAAAAGTCCAATCTTAATTTAAGAACAGCTAAACTCGAGGGGAAACTCATCAGTATACTATCCGTAGAATTAATACAAATATATATATATAATGTATATTTGTTTCGCCACCGTGAATACGTAAGTCCAAAACTTGAGGGTTTAAAAATATAATAATTTAATTACTTTGTATTATTAATTGTTTGTATCGATCGCCGCAATAGTAAAAAACGAACAGTCCAATAAATACAGGAACACTACACAAGAATACCACATAACTCTCATTAAATTTCAACACAAATGTTATCACCCTGTATAATATAAGAGTAACCGGTGTTTATTATTATATACTGTGTGGTTTGCTTAGATTTTCAGCCAGAACATTGCTTCAATAGAGAGTGCACCAGATATGGTTTTATTTAATGATCTGTGATGTTTATCTCTGTAGTGTATAGTGGATACCTTTGGGTAGATATATTATAATCAAACACGCAGTAGATCTTCCAATATGGTGGTGTCGTTAATGACGGTGATTTCAATATACCTGTACCGTGATGCTGCTTAGCAAATGACTTTGAGAGGTAGATCAAAGAAAACGACACGGATCAGTTCAGGTGGGAATCATATAATTATTATTCCTTTCATACCTATTATACACATTAGCTATAATAATTATTCAACAAAAATAAGCAAAACCATTTACAATAAAAATAAAAGTAAATACTTCAATTTATATTTGTTAACAACATAATTTGAGATTTAATTAATTCTCGAACTGTTTAAGTGTATTACACATCGTTATAATATTATATTCTTAATATATACTTATTACAATTTTTTTTTTGCACTTTAATGTCTAGAGTGTATGCCATGCGTGTATTATTTTCATACATTATCATATTAAGTTCTATCATAGCCGTGTTAAAGAATCGCTTTCCGCTTTTTGATTGTAGGCCCTATAAATTAAATCCAACAGGTTCAGTAACAGCCATAGTGCATAATTATATTATGCGCTATTTATTTAACATAAAAAAACATAATAATAGTTGTCCGATTGAAAATATGTATTGAACACTCACCTTACCATCGAGCACCATTCTTTACACCAATCGCTCCAGCCGGGAAACTTGCTAGAATAAAATATAGGGACAAGATAATATATATTTTAAAAACTATACAAGACAATATTGTTTTCGTGACGTGTTGACCATATTATTATTAATACATGTGTATGTCAGGAGTCAAGTGCCCGTTAAGTTGAACTAAATTTTTAAAAAATTAACTCAACACGCCACAATTTATGATTTGCCTAAACTACAATAATATTGTTTCTATAAACTAGAGCGATTAAATAAAATATATAAAAATTACACATTCGGTTATGTACAACGTGCCAGTGTAGAGAGAACAGCATTTTTTTTATCATAATAAATTATCGTTCAATATTGAAACGTTTTTTTTTTGTTACAGTTTACTTTGCGCGGTAGAATTAAATTTTGAAACTTTCCTTTACTCGGAAAAAGGTGTTCTTTTTTTTTTGGTTTATTGTAAACAAGTTTGCTCCAAATTCGTCGACTAGGCGCAACTTTCGCATTTCAATCTATTTATTTATTTACTTGTATTTTTACGGCGGATCGTTTTAATAAACGCCTTTCACGGGCGAGAGGCTATAAAAATATTTTTTATGTTTTTTATTATTATTTTTTTTTAACGACGTTTTCGAGCGCTTTCTTTGTTTTTTTTTATTATTACTATATTTTATTTGTAATTTTTTTTTTTACTCTACTCCAGGGGCTATAGTAGTTTTAATGTGTTGCAAAAAGTAGGACTAAAGTCAGTCTACCAAGATAGAAGAAAATAATTATTGTTCAATGGTGATAAGATATTTTTCTTTAATATATTTTGTTAAAATATATTAAATTTATTATTATCAATTTGTGTATAAGTTTTAGCTATTTATTTGTATTAATTAACAACAATGCCTAATTGTTTTATTTATTCAACAATAAAGACTTTTATTTTCCTTTATGTGGTCATACTGGTTTTAGTCCTGCATTTTACTTCGCTCTTGCATATAAGCTAGTATATTATTATGTTAGTTCATCTCTTTATATTATTACTCTATGCTCTACTCAAAACGTGTGGACGACCGTGCCGTGACCCGTGTCGTGGTAAACGTTTTCGTGAGGTCCTCCGACGAACTCGTAGTAACACTGAAGCCATTGGATCACTTCTAACCTGTTGCGGCACTCGAACGGCCACTGGTCGCAGCCCGGCACCGGTCGCCTGTGCCGGTGGAGGTGACGGCGGAACGGCGGGAACAGCGGGAACGGCAACGTGGGCCCGTCGTGGTGATGATGGTGATAGTAATGGTACCACCAATAGCGGTGACCGTGGTCGTGGTCGTAGTCGTCCAAGTCCAAGTCATCGTCGTCGTCCAAGTCGTGGTCCAAGTCCGGGTAATAGCCGCCGTCGTAGTCGTAGCCGCCGCCGTCGTCGTCGCCGTCGTCTACGTCCGGGTATTCGGGCACACCTTCGCCGTTGACCACGACGAACCGGCGGTCTCTGGACAACGCGTCCGCCGGACCGCTGTCGACGGCCGTGACACTTCCGGTGGCTTTGGCGTACACGTCATGCAAAGCGCAAGCCACGCAGACGCCTAGGGCCAACAGCCGAACGTAGCCGTTGATCTGCGAAATTATTACATTTACAATATTAATAGTTATTAAGAAACGCAAGTTTGTTTGTTTTTTGACAAGCAAACTTTTGAAAATGGATACAACTTAGATTTTGTCCAATTATTGAAACTAGAAAACAACAATAAAGACAAACAAACAGTTCTCGACTCTGAACTGTTGGCAAGTATTAAGTAGCGAAGGGAAATGTTCTTTTCATATCACTTTCCCTCCCCCCCCCCAAAAAAAAAAAAGATACGAGTGATACAAATCTAATAAAATTTGCTCTTTGTAAAATTGTCACAAAATAATAAATGAAAAATGATATTGCTATATGACATACAGGAAAAAATACATGTATTAAAAATGTCTAGCGGTAATGATAAATAATTATTGCGATGCAATTTCTATTATAATATTTCACAAACAACATGAACAGCTGATATGTCGAGTGACGAGCCGGCAAAACTATATGAACATTTTTGTTTATTTTTAATAATTATACAGTAAAAATAATAATAATAATGAAGCACTCACCATAGCTGTTATCGCCGTTCGAACTGAAAAACGATTGAGTTTTCTTCAATACAATTAAACGATACTTATATACACAATGTTACCGTGGACAATTTTTAATTTCCGGTAAACATCAACCTTGTTAATTTTAATTGTGTGAAAAAAAAAACCTAGGAACAACCTTATCGTTTACACCTACCGGATAAAATTTACCGATCAATCTTAATCACTTTAAGGACTCTATTGTCGCCTTTAACCAGTCAATTGTTTCGTTTGTTTCATTTTGTTATATCTATACACATTATAAAATTGAAAATATAACAATATTTTGTTATTATATTAATTGTTATTATCATAAATCTACAAGTTGATGTTACACAATTATGTTGTACACAAAATTTGTCAAAAATACTTCTTAACCGATGAAGTTGAGACTTTAAAAAAGAAAATATTGTTTCTTAATCATTTTTGGGCCGGAAATACATTCCAATTGCTTTTCTGCCATAGACTGGTTTAGTAGTTTTTTTTTCTTATTACACATAAAATCTATTTACACATACCTAAGATAAAAAACAATTCGTCTCAAAAAAATATCATTAACTTTAACAATAATGTTGTTGGAATTATTAACTACTGTGTATAATATTATAAGTATTTAAAAGATAAATATTACATGTTTAATTAAAGCAATAAATATACTTTGGGGAAATTCTATTTGATTTGTTCAACGGTTTGTACAGTTGTTTTTTGCCTATTCTTGTTGGTACATATTTTAGTATATTTTTCTACTACTCAGAAAATGTTTACCTTCATACCTTATACGCGAAACAAATATGAACCTATGTTTTTAACTACATAAATATGTAGACAAACAATTTAAAACAAATGTTAGAGTTTGAATATTTTCTAATTTATTTTAGTCAATCTGTTCGTTTACTATGACTTTGCAAATATTTTAATTTAAGACAAATTTATCCGTCCCTATTTAACAAGAATGCAGTATGATGTGTAAAAAGTTGTATACATGACGTGTACACAAGCACTATGTGTTATAATAGTAGAAGTCTGGTGTTATTATTGAAATAGAGCGAAACATTTTTGTAAACAACGTATTTTCCTCACACTATAGTGTTAAGAACAATGGTAGAATAACATTGCATTAACAATGATTAATCAATTAACATAGATTTAGTGTACTTTAATAGAAAAGTATAATTGGTAATGTTTATTTTAGGGCAGTCTAATAACATTTTTTTTTTTTTATATATATGTACCAAAGTTGAAGCTTACATGGAATATTGCTATTACTGTATAATACTATTACTATATTACACATACGGTATAGTAAATGAATACTCATATTTTGTACGTCTCGACGACGATGGCATCTCGGATTATACTTTGTTCTTGTAAAGTAAGAAAACACCAATCGCAAATAACTATATTGATTGTTGTAGCAATATAATTTACTCAATAATGTTAGTGAAACCTTAAAACAAAACTTTTGTTTTTTCTTACATATATATAGTTTGGTAGCAACATTGGAATGTAAGTAACTTGGAAAGTGGCTTGACTTGTATGCAATTTGGTCCTTTACGTTTTCTTTTATGTCTTGGCCGAAAAATGGAATAAGAATGTAATAAATAAACGTACGGAAAGTTATTGAGTAATATTTAAATGTGTATTAATTATAATGCAAATTATGCATATTTTACAATTATTTTTAACATGAGGTATTTTAAAGCAAAAAGACGGTGCATTAACAATCAAATTAAAACGTATGTGCTCAGTAGTATAATATATATTTTTATGTAGATTAAAGCGTAATCAAGGCGTTTACTTTTCGCTTGCATATCATTTTTTCATAGCTTGATAGTCGGGAAGGATTTGATATGCTAACGCTAACACTGACTGTGCAAAATTTTGGTCGTAATAACACTGAAACGATTCGACTTCTTTGACGAAGTCTACAGCTAACTTATGATTTCTCTGTACATCGGTCGACTGCAGAACGTCTGCTTTGTCTATTATTGGGACTCTGCACCCTCCGTACCACATAGAGTTTTGCCTCAACTGTGAACTAATATCTTCGATAGCCACTTTGGAATCGGTTGGAGATGGACTTTCGACCAGCAAGAATTCAACAGTTTTGACAAAGTCGTCGTCGTCGTTCAAACAGGTTATGTTGCCGATAGATTTAGCCGTCTGGTACATTGCAACGTTCATTTCCCGTCTGTTTTCATCAGTGACCAGCAACATGTGAATCCATAACAGTCGCAACACGACCATTTTTATCCGAGTGAAGTACCAATCTTGATAGTCCTTTATGCCTCGCAACGCGGTGTACAGATTCTTGGGATGTTGGGCCTCCTCGATCATATTCCGTATGCAGCTTTTATCGAACGTATTACCCCATTTGATGGTTTTGCCAAAATAATTTTTGATTCTATCAAATGACGTTTGGACCTTCCGTAGCTGTAATTGCCGACGAGCAAGTTGTTAGCGTCGATTCGGTTGTAGCTTTCTCGGGCGATGTCCTTCAGGATCGGACAAATTCGGTCGAAGTGCTTATTAATCTTTGCAGAAAAAAGTTTAAAGTTGACAAAACGTCTGTGGGCTACGTAGAATTTGTTGTTGCCCGGACAGTTTTTAATGAACTTAGTCAGTTGTCCGGTAACCATTTCGTGAAGTTTAGCCATCTCGTAGTCGTTGAAATGTTCCCAATGAATTTGATTATTTTCAACGTACAAACAGAACAGCCACAGCGAATAGAGGACCTCGCTCTCGTAGACGGCATTGATGTTGTAGAGTATCACCATAGCGTCTCGTGGAATCAGGTAAAACGATTTCAACTTAGCCTTTAAAGTTACTGAATTATCCACGATGGCAAAGGGCGCGGTCATTCGCATAATCGACAGAAATACCGTTTGAATTCCGCACAGTGTGTTTTTCTTGATCTCTTCCACGGTGTCGGCCAAATTTTCACTTGTCCCCCGTGTGGGATTCACGTATCCCATGTCCAAATGTCTCAAAAACATGTAATCCTCCTCAGGCGATATCCTTTTGCAAACCGGTTCGATCTTCGCGTGCAGCACGTTCAGAGTGCAAAAACATAACAGCAATGCCAACGATTGCAAACCACGGCGATCCATCGGAAACGTTTAATTTTCTTACCGACGAAAAGGTTATTTTTTAATACTTAAAGTCGACTCGGTCGCACAAAAATACCGTCACTGACTTTTGGCCTTTACGACACGATTACCGTGAGCAACTCAAATTTGTGTCGATTTACTAAGGACCTGTTCTACACTATAACAACATAATATTATGTTTTTCACAAAAAAGTAAAAACAAATATTATTTACGATTCGGCGGCACGACGCGTGTAGTTGTTTCAGGTGTATTCGGTGAGTGTGTAAATAGAGACGGGACCAACACAGAAAACACTAGTCTTCTACGCACATAGCTGTAAGATGAGAAGAAAGGAAGGGGGTATAGCTGTCCTGGGCTTCACGCCGAGAACTCAAACTCTAATGATGAAAAAAATTGTGTCTATTTGTTTTTTAATGCAGTACCGGTGCCGGAATAATGTCAAAAAAATTATCAAAGACTTTTGATGTTTTGGATATTATAATAATATTTACGTTTACTCATAAGTCAAGTTTGACCATTCACAAACGAATTCATGCAGGAGAAAGGCCATACTCTTGTAGAGTAAGCGGACTTTCTTTCAATCAATCGCAATATAGCTTGAAAAAAAATTAATTAAAACGGAATGTATTAACACTTATTCAATAACAAAGCAGCTATTAATACAGAGTTGTATACTCGACTTATAAACTATCACAGGTGTTCCTAGAATTGTCTATACTATGCCCCTGCCAGGCTGATTTTTGATTTTCTCAATAGAAAATTAGTTATATTGAAAACTTGATCTTATTAAAAATGTAACATATTCCTAACACCCATTAAAAGAAGTCAAATTTCAAAAATGAATATCAAATTTGAAATCAATAACCCTACTAAACCTATTAATTGACGTATTTTACTGTGTAATCGGATAAATTTAAGGCATTATTATGTTTGATAAGTACTTTTCTTTTAATAAAATGTACTTGGCGCTGGAGATGCCTCTGATTATACTGTCTTCATAAGTAAAGCTGGTAATGCTCATTTAATGGTCGTTTACAAAGTGATCATTTTATCGTAAATCAATTAATAACTCATAGGGTTCAATAAAAAAGTTATAATGTTGTTATACAAAAGTTATCTCAATTTTTCAGATTTTTTATTTTGTTTTTACCGACCTCCCAACTTAGTATTTTTGATAACAACTTATGAAGATTAAATAGTAACGCATTTAATTCATCAACTTTTTACATTGATAGACTTTTTCAATGGGGACTAAATAACCTTTATTTGATTTAATTATAAGTTTTAAATTTGATTTTAACACAGGGTATAATTGAAGCCACGAGGCGGTGCATTAACAATCGAATTAAAACTTATGAGCTCAGTAATATAATATTTTATGTAGAACAAAACTATTGAGTATATACTCAATGATAAAACTAATCAAATTTCAAAACTATTTCAAATTGAACCAGTTTAATATCGTTAGTGCCGCCGAGGAGCAAGTTGTTGGCATCGATTCGTTTATAGTTTTCTTCGGCGACCTTCTCCAGGATCGGACGAATTTTGTCGAAACGCACTTTTATCCTGTTGGAAAGAAGTGTGTTATTTGAATCACTACTGTCGGCAAACTCGGGGGAGAACCGGAAATCCGGGTCGGTCCCGTCGAATTTGTTGTGGCCCGGACATTTATTCGAAAAATCTAGTTGGTCCTTAAACATTTTTTTATTTTTTTTTTGTAGAGTAATGCGATTTCATTATTGCTTGCTAATTTTTATCAGACTCAAACAAGCTATACTCATTGTATTTTACTCGGTTCGTGATATCTATAGAAAAAATAAAGTAATCCATACAAATTTGGAACTATTTTGAGTATTTTTTAAAAAAAGTAGTGATTTTCTCGGTTTTAAAGGGAATGCAATGAACTTTTAAAATTGTTTTACCTACTGAAGATTCATGTACGATTTCTGATCTATAGACTTGCTATAAGAATAAGTCGGTTTAGCGATTACAATGATATCGTGGATCCAAACACAAAAATTAAAATTGGGTCATTGATTTTATACAATATAAAATTTTTAACCAAAGTTAAGTATCCAAGTTAGATGACATATTATTCTCTACAAATAATAAGTAGTATAAATAAAAATAATGAAGAGCAATGAAATTAATTCCAGACATAATATAACAAGTCTCATGGGACACTGATTAAAAAATTAAACGTTAAACCGACCTTTTTTTGCATAAAAACATATTGAAATATATAATGCGCTACTAGTTCAAAACTGATAAAATGAAGATTGAACATTTTTTTTTAAGTACTACCGCGTTTGTAACGGCGCTTTATAATAACCAGATATTCATTATTCAGAACTAGTAATTACCATTCAAAGTTGAGCAATGTTAGATTAAAGAAAACGAAATAGGCTGTTTATTAAAACGGAAAAATGGACAATATTCGATAAATATGAGCAAGGTGTCTTTTAAAGTAAAAAAATTACTAGGGAATATTTAAATGTATTTTAGTTATAAAGCAAATTATGTGTGTATTATTGAAGCCACAAGGCGGTGCATTAACAATCAAATTAAAATTGAGGTGCTCAGTCATATAATATTTTATGTAGAATAAAACTAATCAAATCGTTTTCGGTTGAGTAATATATCATTTTATGTTGGCAATC